GCTCGCTCTCTTCATCATCTCTTTTCTCTCGTCGACTTGTCTTAAGTTACGGGAGATCTTGAGATACCCGTGCCCCGGCCATCGCTTGGTATTAGGCGTCGTTTAGCTGATTTGCAGTAAATTCGCACTATCCTGACATTGCTAAAACCTCTGACGCCCCCAAGTATATTGCGCGCGTGGTTGCTTGAGTATATCTACAACGCGAATGCTGCTCATTTCGGCGGCACCCACACGCTCGCACGCGTGTTCATATAGTGTTACAGTATCTCCGCCACACTCAAAACAAATCGCCTCAGCACCTGCACTGTTACCGCTTACCCCACCGCACGGGGTCAGGCCCACGCGCGCCCGCTCACACGTTAAATATAAATTATATTATATATTATATATATAATTATAAAAGAGAGAGACTAAGATATGATAGATAGATAGCATAGGATAGATAGATAGATAGAAGATAGATAGATAGATAAATAATAGAATAGATAGATCGCTGGATAGATGAGATAGAAGATAGAGTAGATAGTATATAGATAGATAGATAGATAATAGATAGATAGATAGATAGTAGATAGATAGATAGATAGATAGATAGAGATAGATAGATAGATAGATAGATAGATAGCATACGATTAGCATAGCCATAGATAGATAGATAGATAGATTAGATAGATAGATAAATAGATGGATAGATAGATGGATAGATATATAGATATATAGGATAGATAGATAGATAGATAAATAGATAGCATAAGATAGAATAGATAATTGGATAGATCAGATAGAATATGATAAATAGATAGTTCGTTAGATAGATAGATAGCTAATAGATAGATAGCTATGGATAGATGAATAGATAGAGAGATAGATGGATAGATGATAGTAGATGGATGGATTAGATCAATAGATAGATAGATAGAAAATAGATAGACTAGATAGATAGCCATAGAATAGATAGATGAGATAGCATAGATAGATAGATAGATAGAAGATAGATAGATAGATAGATAGATAGATAGATAGATAGATGATAGATAGATAGATACGATAGATAGCATAGATAGATAATAGCATATATAGATAGATAGATAGATAGATGAGATAGCAGATAGATAGATAGAATAGACTAGATAATAGCATAGATAGATAGATAGATAGATAGATAGATAGATATATAGATAATAGCAGATACGCCGGTAGGCTGACTCAATATATAATATATAATATAATTATATATAATATATATATATATTTATATATATATATATATATATAAATATATAATATATATATATATTATATATATATATATAGATATATATATATATATATTATTTTCCTCCGCCAGTGGGGCGTGGCGGAGGTTATGTTTTCACCGGCGAATGTTTGGAGTTGGGTCGGTTTGTTTGTGAACATGCACGTTTCCATTCACTTCCGCTAGGTATGCGCTGGCTGTATCTAGACTTTAAACACGCAAACACTCAGGCTAAGGAACAACCGCAGTCCTCCCCCCCCCTTGCACGCTCGCACTAAATCCGGAATTCCAATTAATTCATTTAATATATGAATTAATTAATAATTTTCCACCTTAATTTAATTAATAATTAATAAAAAAATTTCAACCCATTGAGAGAATCTCAGCTTCTGCCTTGGCGGAGGTTCTGTGCTCTTCCGAGTGCTCTAGTTATATATATAAATAATCAAAAACTGGTATTAGAAAAGGCCATGCACTCATGTGAAGCTCTTGTGTGCTGTATGTGTTCTGTGTCGCGCGTGCTGTGTGTGCGTTGTTGTGTGCGTGATGTGTATGTGTGTTGCATCGCTGCAGTGCGTCGTGCAATGTGGTGGTGTGTTGCGTGCGTGCGTGGTGCGGGGTACGTACGTATGTGTGTAGTGCAGGAGTTAATAATTCTCAATGATCGTCATATAATCTCACAATTTCTGGAAAATTATTTTACTTCCGGATATATTATAATATATATATATATATATGATAATTGTGTGGTGTGAAGCGGTCATGGCTTATTCCTCCCATTGACACTGCGCGAATAGGATGCGGATCGGCTGCGCGTAGTAGAGTAGAAGAAAGACGCCGTGTATCCAACTTCGCCGAATTTCTTTACCAAGCCGGCCTCACATTTTTTTATGATTTATTTAAATGTCAGTCATTCGCGATTATCGTGAAACGAAACGTCTACTACATTCGCTAGTGGTGTGAGAAATGTATTGTAGGCCATCGGTGACTAGTCCGCCGTTCAAACCTGTTTCCGCTGGCAGCAACGCTCGGCAACCATACACAAGATGGCACTGAACCAGAATCTATTACCCATGTTTTTGCTGACGCCAGATTGGATGGCCGAAGGCATTGAGAGCTTGATCCAGCGCTCTCTAGCGGCCTTTAAACGAATGCGATTACGCGGGTATTAGCGAGCGATCCTGCGACACATCGTTAGATTCTCTAAAGCCAGTGTGCCATGTATTACCATCCCCTTATGGTAACGTCCCACCCCTACATTACGCATGGGCCAAGACAAGTTAAATCCGAAGTCACAGTTACGACGCACCCTGCTAGACATGCACCATGCGCAGTGTAGCTGGGGGGGGCGCTTTGTCACGAGTTGTACGCCATGGGTGCCAGCAGCCGACGCAGAACAGGGTGTTGCCTTGCTCATAATGTTAGCCTCGTTCGTGATTTCTTATACCTTAGCGGCGTGAGATCGTGTCACACCGTAACATGTCTCTATCTCTTTCTTCCTGTACTCGCTCTCTATTTTTTTTCTCTTTCTCTCTCTCTCTCTCTCTCTCTCTCTCTCTCTCTCTCTCTCTCTCTCTCTCTCTCTCTCTCTCTCTCTCTCTCTCTCTCTCTCTCTCTCTCTCTCTCTCGTCTCTCTCTCTCTCTCTCACTCTGTGTGTCTCTCTCTCTCTCTCTCGCGCGCGCGCGCTTTCTCTCTCTCGCTGGCTTCCCCTTGTCTCTCTGTATCTCTCACTGTCTCTCTGTCCCTGTCTCTCTCTCTGTCTCTCCCTCTCTCTCTATTTCTCGCGGCGGCGGCGGCGGCGGTGAATAGATGTCCGGGTGTGGCGACGTGTTTACCGTCGTCCGTCGGCCGCCAGCTAATCAACACGCGCCGACGTACGAGCCCCGGTTACGACTCCCAATCCCCTCCCCCACCACCACACCACACACCTCCGTCATGTGAAGTGAGAGCGAGAATTTGCTTGAGAGAGCGTTAATCTTCTGCTTGACTGTCATCATTACGCACCGCGCTCGCTCGCTGACGACGGAAGCTTTAGCTTTATAGAGCTTCTGCCGAGAGAGAGAGAGAGAGAGAGGGGGGAGAGCGAGTGGGGAGGAGGAGGAGGAGGAGGAGGGGGAGGAGGAGAGGGGATTTCCATGCG